GAAGTTTGAAGTGCCACTGCATTCTCCGGTTGAAGAGGCTTGCCACTTGGATGAAGACGGCTCCGAGTCGACTAGAATTGAAGCTAGTGGCAGGGAGGAACGCACAAGGTTCGTGATACAAATTCAATTGCAAGTCATTTCTGTCTCTCATCCGCCATCCATCTAAAAGCTCGGATAGGTGCGCGACTCCTTCCGGCGGCATGGTTTTCGAGCTGTTCGTCTTTTCCTTCAAGCAATCCATCTCTCTAATTTATTCATTCACTTATTCAACCCACCAGGGAGGCAAGGAAGCCGTCATGCATGATGGCCCCCTCATCCAATTGCTTGACACCCTCGTTTTGAAGAGAGAGACGGGGGTTCAACTCCTCCCGGCGGCATGTTTTGGGAGGCGAGTCAACTTTTCTTACACGCATTTACTTGTTGTCTTATTCACCCCACTAACTAGGTAAATAAGCCGTCGTAGACCATGGTGGTCGCTCTCATTCCGTCAAATAGAATCCAATGACGTTCATGAGGGAGCCGGGCGTTCGATTCCTCCCGGCGGCATGGTCGAGCTCGTATTCTTTTTTGCCTCCATCTCTCATCCGCGCACAAACTTATTCAACCCAGTACCAAGCTACATAAGCCGTCGTGGACCACGGAGGTCGCCCTCGTTCAATTACCGAGTTTCAACATTGCAAGAGGGAGCCGGGCGTTCGATCCCCCCCGACGGCATACATGAGCTCGTGCATTTTTGCCTTCCACCTTTAATTTATGAGCTAACTTATTCCCACTACCTAGGGATAAAAGCCGTCTTGGACCACGGTGGTCGCCCTCATTTCATACAGCTATAATGATTTCCAAGAGGGAGACGGGAGTTCGATTCCCCCCGACGACATATTCCGTGAAGGCGGTTTTTTTTCTATGGCGCGCAAGATTTTACCGAGGTAGGCGAAGAAATTACTGCCAATGTTTGTGCCGTGGCGGTCACCGTCGAGCAATAAGGTGTCTAGTCCGGTGTGAAGCTGATCGACTCCATCCCCACTTATGAACTGCGTTAGGCATGCAGATCATCCGTCGTAGACCATGAGGTCGCCTTCACTCCGTTGTTCAGGATGATCCTATGACCTTCATGAGGGAGCGGGAGGTTCGAATCCTCCCGACGGCATGCCGGTCGAGCTGTTCTCTTTTTCCTCCCATCAATCAATCAATCTCTCTAATTTACTTGTTCACCTATTTAAACTGCCTAACTAAGGAGATACGTCGTCGTGGACCACGGGGTCGTCCTCATTCAATGGTATACAACCGCGCGGGCTTGAAGAGGGAGACGGGGGTTCGATTCCTCCCGACGGCATGAGGGAGTTCCTTGTTTCTTTTTTTATGGGGCCTGTACTGAGTTTATCCCGAACCTCGAGAAGGCGAGAAAAATTCTTCTTGTGGGCCGTAGTCACCCTCATCCAATAAGCCCCAGCGTCGGTGTGAAAAGGGGGCCGCAGGGTCGACTCATCCCTATTTACGCACCCACTTATGAACTGCGTTAGGCATGCAGATGAGCCGTCATGGACCACGAGGTCGTCCTCATTCAATTATAGCCCACTGTCTTGGCTGGAGGGAGACGGGGCTTCGATTCCCCCCAAGGGCAGTTTTTTTATATGGCCCGCAAGATTTTAGCGAAGCTCGTGTGGGCGCGGAAAATTCTGGAGGGCGGCCGCCCTCATTCAATGAACACTAACAACTCGAAGTTGCACGAGGGAGGTGGAGGTTCGACTGCCTACGACATTCATAATTCCTCGGTGAAAGTTGCCTTCCGTCCCTAATTCACGCACCCACTTATCGACTGCCGTAGGCATACAGATGAGCCGCCGTAGATCATGGCGATCGCCCTTGCTCAATTGGTGAATAGTTAGATCGCTTGCAGGAGGGAGGCCGAGGTTCGATTCCTCGCGGCGGCATGCGTTTTGAGACCTTGTCCTTTTTTTACCCCCCTTCCCATTCCCCGAAACAGGTTGTGTTCACACTGAGGAGTACAGACATACTTCTCTCGAGCTCCCGCTGCCCGACGAGATAGGTTATCAGCCGTCCAATTAAACGTCTCATTAAATTACACGGAGATACTGTACAGCATACATCATCCTGAATAAACGAGCGGCGGCGTCATACGAGTTCGAATCCGAGAGCAATCCGAGTCTAAGCTCAGTTTTAGTCCGTTAACGCGCACACCTCATAACAAGGAAGCGCCCCATGAATATGTACGGAAGCCAAAGAAGGAACCGCTCACGCGCCGCCCATCATGCGCCGCCCCGCCTCCACGCGCGCGGGGGTCGGACCGCATCTTCCCGCTGAGCACCTTCGCTTCGCCGCGCAACGTGCGCAGGAGCGACGCACGGCGCTTCGGCGGCGCCTCCGCGTCGGACTGCGCCATCGGCGGCGCGTCGAGGCACGGACTTCGCTGTCGGCGCTCGCGCACTGGCGGGGGGTGGCCTTGGCGAACCGGGGGCGGGGCGGACGGCGGGCTCGACGCCTTGGCGCCTGAGGGGATTTACAGATGCGGGCGAGGAGGGCGAGGAGGGTGGGGTGGTCATCGTACTCGCGGTGGAGGGCGAGCTGGTGGAAGCGGACCCGGAGGAGCTTGAGGCAGAGGGCGAGGCGGCGTACGCGGGGGAGAGGTGACTACAGCTGGGTGGGTGGGCACGAGCGCTGAGACGAATGGCGCGAAGCTCGGGAGCGGCACGACGCCGGGGTCCACGAGCTGCGTGCGGTGGTGCTCCTCCGCGGGGGGAGAGGGCAGCGGCACGGAGGTTGCGCCGGTCGAGGCGCCCGACAATGGGCGTTGCAGGGCTTCGGACGATCCCGAGGGCGAGTGCGAATGCTCAGCGCTCACCCGGTGATGAGGCATCGACGCCGAGTAAAAGTCGGACTGCACGGGGGTGAGCGTGCCGCGCAATGAGCCCGAGCCCGCGTACGCGCGCGTGCTGAAGTCACTCGCGGCACTGCCGTCTGTGTTCATCGGTATGGCGTGGTCACATTGAGGTTGTCATTGTCGTCGGAGATGGGCGTCGAGGCAACGTCGAGGTCAGTGGAAGCTGTGAAATAGAGATGGTGGAGAATGGGCGCCACGGCCTATGGTTTTCGAGTGACCTCCAGCACGACAGTACACCCTCCGAGCTCGCGGAGGGCTATATAGGTGGGTTCAACCGTGGAGGCATCGATGATCGTGGCCTCTCCATAAACCAAGACGCGGGAGGCACAAAGGGCTTGACTCGGATGATTCCGGAGATCAGTCACGCAAAGCCACGTCACTGTCACACTTTGTCGTCGACCGCGATGTCAAGACTCGAGAACTTTTCCAAGGTCGCTGTCGAAAACGAACTGTTTGCCTGGAGATGCTGAAGTTTGGAGTGCCACTGCATTCTCCAGGTCCAAGAGGCTTGTCACTTGGATGAAGACGGCTCCGAGTCGATTAGAATTGAAACTAGTGGCAGCGCCGTGAACCAGGCAAAGCAGCAGGATAACAAATATGAAAGGAATCAACACGGATCGGATGCAGGAACACACGGGGATCTAGTCTCTTATAAACAGACGCCACGAACGAATGGAAGCTCATACTTCGCTTGCTTGTAATGAGAAGATTTTTTGGGCCTTCCCTCGCTCATCCGCGCGCTAACTTATTCAGCCCGCTGCAGAGCGAGATACGCCGGCGTGGACCATGGTGGTCGCCCAAGGCCCTATTACCGAGTTGAGCCTTGGGTACATGAGGGAGACGGGGGTTCGACTCCTTCCGGCGGCATAAGGCGGATGGTTGTGTTTTTTTTACTCTCCATCTCTAATCTGCGCAGTAACTCAGCCAGCCCACCAGGGAGGCAATGAAGCCGTTGTGGACCATGGCGGTCCACCCTCCTTCAGTGGCTTGGCGCAACTGTGTCCAGAAAGGGAGCCGGAGGTCCGACTCCTCCCGGTGGCATGTGTGAAGCTCCTGGCAGATTTTTTCCCGTCAGGCGGCTCTCATCTAAGTATGCACTAACACATTAACTTATCCAACCCCCCAGGGAAGCAAAAAAGTCGTCGTGGACCAAGGCGGTCGCCCTCCCTCAATGGCGAAAGAGGGATAAGAAGTGCGTGCAGGTGGGAGACGGAGGTTCGACTCCTCCCGGCGGCATGGAGGAGAGCCAGATTCATTTTTGTCTACCATCTCTCATCCGCTCCTACTTATTCAAGGAGATAAGCCGTCGTGGACCATGGTGGTCGCCTCACTTAATTGAGCGAAAATTCAATACAGGAGGGAGACAGAGGTCCGACTCCTCCCGGCGGCATGGTTTAGCGCCTTCTCTTTTCCTTCAATCCATCTCTCTCTAATTGAATTTACTGACTCACTTATTCACCCCGCCAGCTAGGCAAATAAGCCGTCGTAGACCATGGGGGTCGCCCTCATCAGACTGCTTGACAGCGTCACGTTGAACAGAGAGCGGGAGGTTCGATTCCTCTCGGCGGCATGAGCCAGGGTCTTGCTCGATTTTTTCCTTCAGGCAGCTCTCATCTAAGTATGCACTAACACATTAACTTATTCAACCCACCAGGGAGGTAAGGAAGCTGTCGTGGACCATGGTAGTCACCCTCTGTCAATAATCGACGTCGTGTATTGCATAGGGGAGCCGGAGGTTCGATTCCCCAACGGCGTGGGAGCGACTTCATGCATTTTTTTGCCTACCATTTTTCATTCCGCGCGCTAGCTTAACCCACACGGGGGGTTTGACTCCTCCGGGCACCATGGATGAAGCCGGTCCCTCGTAGGCAGAGGTTTGCCGATGTTGTCGCACACCGGGTTTACATTACTCTACCTCCGCCGATCCCGGTAGGCTACATGTGTCTACGTTCGTCAATCTACAGAGACCCACCTCATCTACCTCAGGCTGCACTGGTAGATTCCAAATTTTGAGTGACAATGAGCAAACCCACTTATGTCTATGGCCATAGTCAGGCTTAGGCAGATGTAATTTTTTTGGGCCCAGTAGCTGGGTAAATAAGCCACCGTGGACCATGGTGGTCGTCCTCGCTCAATTGTCCATACCCGATATGACAAGAGGGAGACGGAGGTTCGACTCCTCCCGGTGGCATACATAAGCTTGAATACTTTTTCCCTTGTTGTGCTGAATTATTCAACCCATTAACTAGGCGAGGAAGCCGTCGTGGACCATGGTGGTCGCCCTCTGTCAATTATCGAGGTCGAGCGTATTGCATAGGGGAGCCGGAGGTTCGATTCCTCCCGGCGGCATGGTGAAAATCCTCGGCCATTTTTTCCTCCAGCTCTCATCTGCGCATTAACTCATGTAGCCCAGTAGTCGAATAATAAGCTGTCGTGGACAATGGTGGTCGCCCTCGCTCAGTTGTCTAGTTTCAATAACACGAGGGGGAGCCGGGGGTTCGACTCCTCCCGACGGCATGAGGGGGCTTATCGCGTTTTTGCCTTCCGCCTTTAGTTTACGCGTTAACTTACAGTCCGCAGATGCACACCATACAGTATGCTACCAGGTAATTTACTGTCCCTTTTGGCTCTCAAATACAACACCAACTTCATCTGGGCATGCTGTTCTCTGCCTCTCATGCCTCGTTTCCTACTCGTCTATGAATTGACCGAATCGTACGGCGGCAGTTCCATTCGCTTTCGACTGTTTTATTATCAACACCCAAGGCCCTAAGGAGAGCGCACAACGCAAAAGGCGTCTACTGGACATATCATTCACCTGACTCCGATTCGAACGGGGACCGTCTGCAGCAATTTACGCGGGCACCCGGTGTTGCATTCCACCGGAGACACGTAGGCTCACCGCCCTGATCGCGCACGCTTAGGCCTCTCTCGGAGTCTTGACTAGTGTTGACTCAGACTGATCCCCGTGGATTTAGATGACTATCTGCCCAAATATAAATGGGCACTAGCCTCACCCGTTCTTCCTTACCAGCGATCACTCCGGGCTCTCTCCTCCTTCCATTTTATTCAATCTGTCCTGCTATCCTGGCATCCTGCCTTCCGTTCAATCTCGGCCTGGTACCACATAAATTGCTAGAAATCAGTTCAAGTCTTCAAGATCCTCGAGCTCAAGGTCACTCTCAAAAACAACTGCTCGTCGCACTTATCCTAGCCGCCGACTCAGTCCGGTTGCTCCTTCCAGCACGATGATGAGCATCGCTCACCGCTAGCCCCCGAATCAGCCGAAATGCCGAACCTCCGATGAACACGACCACATGTGTCTTGCCCCGACTTCGACGCGCTCGTTCCATGCGATTCCCAAATAGTTCATATTTCTCCGACTCGCTCTCTTGTCGCCTTCCCCATCTACGCGTCCCCGGCACTTTCCCATGGTATCTTACTCACCACCGATTCGATACAATTATTACTTCGTATTGTCTCGGATTCAATTAACTCCGACGGCGCCGCTCAGACACGTATAGCCTTGAGGGGCCTTTCTCCATTTTGCTTTACTTACAGCACACATACTCCACCTGTACTAGACTTGACTCAGGACGAATAATATCCCCGTTTCCGCTCAGTGTCCATATGCCACCGCTTTTTCTCCTTCGTTGTCCATGTTCACCTCTGTCTCTGCGCTCGTCTCGTCCCTCGGCGTTCGCATCGCGTTCGCCTTGCTTTATGTCTTTGTCGTCCCCGCTGCCGCTCGCCGTCTTATGAGATCAACGACCCTCTGTCAGTCCTGCCAATGAAACGAGAAATATCCACAAGTAATTATAGACATCCTGTAGAATACGTAGTTGTTCAGTATCTGTCGTTGTATCATCACGGCGGCCGTGTGGCTTGCTTAACAGCCTTCCGAGGTCATGAATGAGTGTAAATTGTGCAGATTTTGAAGAAAGAGTCAAAGATGTCATCTGGCAAAAAGCAGATTGTGGGGGCGGCAAAAACGATCCAAAAACGAGTCTAAAAATAGATTTCTAGAACTCAAAACGAGATTACCACGGAGGTGAACATAAACCGCTTAGTTAACATGACACGTGTCAGGAACACTGCCTTGCCATGCTCGCATATAAGAGCTCCCTCTCTTGAGTCCGTCCTCAACGATTCCCAAGATGTCTCGCCAGCCCACTGTTGCTGATATCTGTCTGAACAACACCATCAGCTGTTTGGCCCCTGCTATTACACTCCTCAATGACCTGAGTGATGTGTTTGGTACTCTTTTGTGCCGGCCATTTCAAACACCACTCTCTCCTTGATTGCTGCCGTGCAGGTAAGATATGTCCTTTACAGTGGGCCGTGAGTGCTCATATGGCATAGAATGTCAAGAGAAATAAGGAAGACTGTATTCAACTCCTAGGGAATGTTGATCAACTACTGTGTGCTATTGTCAATCTTCATATCAAGTCTGAGCCTAGGGGGAATCTCTCCCCTGGAAGTTTGGACCATATTGGGAAATTCACAGAGTATGTGTGATGCTCCTTACTGCGAGTACAATTGACAGTTTATTTAGGACACTTCACAAGATTCATGCATTTGTTGAGACACAGCAAGATGGAAGCAAGATCAAGCAATTATTGCGCCAGACTGAGAGAAAGACACTTCTCAGTGAATGTCGAGCCGGACTGCAGCAGGCTTTTGAGGTGTTCAAGGTACATCTTTTCCATCCGTGATGGATGACATGGTACTCACACCTCATGTAGACTGAAACTACCATCAATGTGCTTGACCACATTACTCAAATGCAGGAAGAGGCAGATCGGATGCACGAGGAAGTGCTTGAGTTGATTTCAACCTGGTCGGATGGGACAACCTCTGACAAATCTTCCTCTGTACGGACTTTTTAATCCTTGCACAAAGCTAGTTTTGATTTTGACACAGATCTACAAGACCAGTGGATCCCAGAATAGGTATTTTTTCATTGCTTGTTGATTCAGACTAAATTCAAGTTACACCTGCTCAAGCTCCCACTCTATCTCAATGTTGCCAGCCAAACTGAAGATCTTCCATGGCCGGGAAACAGAACTCAAAGAGATTGTTGAAACCTTCCGCCATGAAATACCAAGGATTGCCATTATAGGAGCAGGTGGAATGGGCAAAACAACCCTTGCCAAGGCTGTCCTCCACCATCCTGACTTTGCTGCCAAATATGAGCAGTGCTTCTTTGTAGTTGTAGATTCCATCACCACCAGTATTACACTGTCAGGCCTGATTGGGGAACACATCGGATTCAAACCAGCAAAGGATCTTACACAACAAGTCATTCACTACTTTGCTACAACAGGGCCTTCCCTCCTGATGCTTGATAATCTGGAAACTTCATGGGAGCCCATTGAGTCGCGTAGTGAGGTTGAAGAGCTGCTGGCCAAGCTCACCAATGTCCCACATCTCGCACTTGTGGCAAGTCTCCATAACTGTTGAAGTATGCAGCCATACTAACATCCACATAGATCACAATGAGAGGTGCAGAACGGCCAGCCAAAGTCCAGTGGACTCGCCCCTTTCTGGCACCCTTAAAGCCATTGTCAGATATTGCTGCTCGAGACACATTTTTTGCCATTGCAGAGGATGTGCATAAGAGCAAAGATGTTGATGAAGTACTCTCATTGACAGATAACATGCCACTTGCTGTTGATCTTATAGCTCATGCTGTGGACTATGAAGGAAGCTGCTCTGCTATCTTGGCTCGTTGGAAGTCAGAGAAAACTTCCCTACTTTCAGCTGGCAATGACAGAAAGTCCAGTCTGGATGCATCAATTACAATTTCGCTTTCCAGCTCCCGTATGAGCACTGGGTCTAAGGATCTCTTGAGTCTTCTCTCAATTCTGCCGGATGGACTTTCAGATGTTGAGCTTGTCCAAAGCAAGCTCTCTATACCTGATATCATGACATGCAAAGCTACATTACTTGCTACTTCTCTGGCATATATTGATGACAAGCAGTGTCTGAAGTCACTGGTGCCTATTCGAGAGCATATGCAACAGTTCTATCCTCCTTCCCCACTGTTCATTCACCCGCTGCAAAAGTATTTTCATCAGCTTTTGGATCTGCACTGCAAATATCCTAGAACTCAGCAGGGGGCCGGAAGAGTCAATCAGCTAGTATCAAATATTAGAAACATGAGTGAAGTGCTGATTAGAGCATTGAACCCTGAGAACCCAAACTTGGCAGAGACAATTGATTGCACACTTGCGCTGAGAGCTTTCATGCCAAGTACTAATCCTGGCTATTTTCATCTGATTCCGAGGTTAATGGATCAGATTGCAGCTACTTGTGATGGGAATGGCGATGAAAAAGTCAAGGCACAGCTCATCACATGGCAGTTTGTGTCAAGAAGTCCACATCTTTCTACCCATGCAGATCTGTTGATTACACAGGCCATCTCTCACTTCCATGCCTTCAACGACCTGGCCCTTGAATGTGAGTCCACTCCATAGTTTCCATTGATAGTATCCCAATCAAATCAATTTTAGCCAGATTTTACCTAGAAGTGGGATGTTACTACTTCCATAATGAACGGAAAGTATCTGTCACCCTGAAATATCTGCACAAGGCACTTGACTTGGCAAAATCGCATGGAGACAAAAGGCAGGAGGCCCTGGCATTGTATTCTCTGAGTCAAATAGAATGGTACATTGGGGATTATCTCGGAGCTCAGAAACATTGCTTAGCTTCACACCGACTTGCCGAGCTAGCAGGAGATTTACATTATCAATCACTTGCCCTCCGCACTTCAGCCATATGTTACCGAAGCTGTGGTGACATCAAAAATACCATCATCCTCTGTCAGAGGGCACAAAAGCTACTAGAGCTTTGTGGTACAACTACTGGGTCTGTCTATAGAGTTCTATTGCAAGACCTGGCAGAAGCCCATCTCCTGAAATCAGAATATGTGGAGGCCCGTAATATCCACATGCAACTTGCCCGAGATGTTGCTCTTCAAGATTCATGCGATGATGCCTGGTGTCTCCTTAACATTGCACAACTTGACATCATACTCGGTGCATCGAAACAGGATGTCTTGTCTAACCTTGACAAAGCAAAGGCACTGTTCGACGCCCACATATACGGATATTATGATGTAATCTGTGCAAAGATATGCTGTGATATTGATTTAGGAAAACTGCATCTCAGAGAGGGAGAAATTCT